CGATAGAGAAGAGATAATTGGTAGCGAGTTAATTGAAATGACACACAAAGAATTTCACTCTCTTTGCTCCCTACATTGGAAAAAGTATCTTTAATCAATATTACTAGCAATATTCAAGTAGAAGAGCAATGCTCCAGCAGGACCAAACTGCCTCAGACGGGGTGATATCCCGGTCTGGCAGAACATTGGCGTGAAACAACGCTTACGTTGTGTTTTGCCGTATGAGCGAGGTCGATTAATAACCTCAATAGATCGGCAATGCATTTGTAGCTCTAGTGTCGCAAGTGTTCATGAACGGCGATGATCACTTAGCTATTTGCCAAGAGGTGATCTATTCGTTTTGTTGATCGGGGATCCTATTAAATATTGTAGTATTGTAGGGGCATGTGACACATAATATAAATTCTTTCATACATAATAAAATGGATACATAATTTTATTAAAACTGAAAAATAAATGAATAAATGAATGTGTCAGTAGTTATAGTGATAACTAACAGATAAAAAATAAATAAAACAGTGAGCTGCGCGACATCACAGTCACCGCGCACGCTGCTTATGAGGAAGAACCCCTCTGTGATTCGAAACTAGTAGAGCTTTTCTCAGTATATTCATGTGAGTAACCCGCGATTTTAGTTAATCTATAATTATATAAATATGAAACCCGTTTTCCGTTGTCACGCCATAACTTGAGAACGGCTAGACCGATGTGGCTGATTTTTTGTTATGTTTATTATTGTCAGGAGAAGGTTCTTATGACAGAAAAAGTCCTGAAAATCCTACGGGAATGGGAGAAAATGGGATTGCGTGTACGAAGTCGCGGGTAGAAGCTAGTTTAAAATAAATAAAAGAAAAAAAATAATATAAACGTATATTTTTTAATAATATATCCTTATCTAACACCTTGTTAGTATAAAAGTGTCGATCAAATCTAACGATCGGAACGTCGGGGTCACATCAAGTTTTATTTTCAAAAGGTCACACACATTGGGTAACCTTTTTTAGGGAAAGGTCAACTAATCGTTGGATAGTAATAGTTTTTTCTCGGAACCCGTTAACTAAGTTCGGTACTTCGGTCCCCTTCAAGTATGACGGATGTAATTGTCAAGACGTAACTTGGTCGTCGCTTCAGAAAGCAAATGGAAATAGGGAGAAAGTTTTGCTAACTAAGAATAAAAGAAGTTGCAAGTATCTCTTCTGAAGTGCCTCCCACTTTTCCTATTATTATTTGTATTTCTTTATCTACTGTTATGACAACTTGAATGATAGGTGTTTGCGTGGTCGTTTCTTCTGTAGTGGAAATAATTTGGTTTGATATCGACGGTACCTACTTACTTTCTTAGCAATTTATTTTACTTGTTACGGATTTATTACTGACGAAATTTTCTGACTGCCTCATTGGCCGAGTGATCGCAAGTGCGACTGCTAGGTAAGGGATCTTGGGTTCGATTCAAGGGTCAGGCAAAGTTTTTAATTAAACATTTTTCAATTCCAGTCCCAATTTTCAATCCCAATCAAAAATCTCAGTAGGTAATACTTTGCTGTGTAATACGAAGTCTGTCCGGTATTATGGCTATAGAGCCATAATACCCAATAAAAAGACAGACAGGCTTACCCTCTATTACATGGGACTCATACCATAAATAGTAAAAATGTGAGTGTTACATTGCACTGTGGCATTGAGTACTAGAGACCTCTGCCTACCCCTTCGGAGATAAAAGGCGTGATGTTATGTTATGTTATTTATCTACTGTTATGATAACTTGAATAATAGGTGTTTGCGTGGTTGTTTTTTCTGTAGTGGAAATAATTTGGTTTAATACCAATAGTACTTCCTTTGTTAGCAACTCATGGAATTTTCCACATTAGCATTGTTAGCACAAAATAACACATGATTTGTTGAATACCACATATATATGTACATACATACATACATAACTAATTACAATAATGTAATTGTTCAATGAACCCAAACAATTGGTAGTTGCATTCATGTGATTCAAAATGCTTGTTTATACCGCTTCCATTAAATATGTCACTTGCAAGTTGATTGCTGGAAACGCGGTAATACGTTGCTTGTGTTCGCCCAGCTGGTATAATGTTCACAGATATAGTTGTTACTGGATGGGGTTATCTTATTTATTTATTATTATTTATTTTCAGCCATGATCATCCCACTGCAGGGCAAAGGCCTCCCTTCCACTTCTCTCTATGTAAAGCTTTTTGGGGTTATCTTAAAGTAATGACAACTGTTTGGTTTGGAAATGCACAATGTTATTCATTATACATTGACAGAGATAGGCAGTGGTGTATGTATAAATGAGGTATCACTTTTCTCGATTTAGAACTTTATTTCCATTGAAGAAGATGGTCTGTTTTCAAATGTCCGAAATGAATTACATATTGCAAACTTAAGCTTAAGCTAATTTATGACCCCTATTCAAATTTTGCGGAGAACCTAACGGGTAACCGGGGCTCCGGCTCGACGTGCAGGAGAAGGAACGGGGTGGTTTTTAGTCAGTAAGAGTCTGACACTCCCTTCCGCCGCACCTAGGCCTGAGCAGTCATACGATGAGTTTCCACCCTTAAAAAAAATCAAATTTCGCTTGCGGCATTCAATCACCAAAATAATCTATATGCACAAAATGTTAATTAATATTCCATATCAATAAAACTTCTTTGATTGTGATATTCTTGATATCTGAATACTTACTTACGAGTATCATATCTAGTTTTCTTTACCCGTGTTACTCATGTAGTTTGTAACGACATGTTGTTACAGGCCCATTCATCTGCTTATGTAACAAACTGAATTGAATATGTTATAGTTTCATAAAAGGTGATTACAAATATTTGGCTTAGAGTTAAAGTAAACTCGTTATAATATTTACGTAGAATTTAATAACTTCTAACACTTGTAAGTAATTTAATAATAAGATGATACAAAGTCCTCAGACATAGTAGTCGAACGATGATAATGGGCCCGACCCTATTTCGTGGTAGGTACTTGTAAAAAAAATTTACTGCCTCGAAAATAATTAAATAGTTTTGTAAAACTATATCAGAAGCCTAGTAGGAGTTTTCTATGAGAACTTTTACAGTGAAAATGCTAGCTAAAATTTTACATGTTGTGCAATGTGCATGCTATACAGCACGTTGGTTTTTTAAAATGTGACGGCACGTTAGGAATGCGGCCCTATATTGTGGGTGAAGGTTCAAAACCACACCTAAACCCAGAACAGTTTACTGCTAGTTCTGATTATAACCCGAATAGACAGAAGCAGAACAAGAATAAGTGTACCGAATCTGCAATATGTTGCGCAGCTGCCGTTTCTCTACATCTACCATGTACTGACTTCTCCCGCCCGGGTGAGGCGGGAGGGAGTGTCAGACTCTTACTGACTAAAACCCACCCCGTTTATACTCCTGCACTTCGAGCCGGAGCCCCGGCAACCCGTTAAGTCTTTCGCGGCTCCGTATCGGCATCAGCCCTGTTAGGCCCCATCTGTGGTGGTCTGATGGCTCCTTGAGGCGCGCGCGGAACGCGACCGTACGCTCGGGCCTGGTTCTGGTCGGGCGGCGAGTCACCCATGCTCGCCGTCCGCAGGCCCGTGCTTACGATGGCCGGAGGTCGCCTCGCGACCCCTGACGCCTGGATGCTTTAAACACCTAATAATAATTTCAGTGTAAACAACGGATGAATATAATGTAACATCATGCCTTTTATCCCGGAAGGGGTAGGTAGAGGAGCACATTACGGCACTTGATGCCACTGTACAATGTAACACCCACTTTTTCACTATAAAAGTTATGAGTCCCATGTAATAGGGGTTGAGCCTATTGCCATATACCGGGCACAATTCCAGACTCCGTGCTACTACTAAGAATTTTTTTTACCATTACCTGTCGGTATTATTCGGTTCTTTTTACACCCTGTATACATCAAATAACATTGTTAAGGATTACGAACAATATTATACATCAAGTAGACAAGTTGTCTAAAGTTTTAACTCCAGTTGTGTAGCTAAGTCACAAAGTTTCAGTCAGCAACTAGTATTATGCGAAGTTAACTTATTATGAACGTACTTAATAAGTAAGTAGTAACTGATATAATGATGTTTAACTATTTAAGCTGATGTTACGTGTTCTGTGTGCCTCTAGAATATTATATTTTAGAGCTTAGATACTCTGATGTACTTAAACTAACTTAGGTACTTCCATATTTACTTTCCTGTGTGAAATTTACCTATACACCTAACCTACTTGTTATTTTAGTAGTTTTAATTGTAAATACACAAAAGGTTCAACTACATTTGAATTTAATGAGCACGCTGACGTACTTTTAACGTGCGTATTTTACTTAGAAATTACGTAGGATTGGACAACGAATGTAGGTAAATTGTAAACTTTAATGATATTTTAGGTAAATTAACTAAAATTGCGGGTTACTCACGTGAATAAACTGAGAAAAGCTTCGAACCACAGAGGGGTTCTTCCTCATGAGCAGCGTGCGCGGTCGAGGCGACGTCGTTCGACGGCCCTTCTGTAGTTATTAAAAAAATATTTTGAGTATTTAAATAAGGTAAGTGGGACTGGCGAGTTGTCGTTCGATGTGGAGGACTAAAGGGAAGGGACTAAGGGAGACCTCTGTCCAGCAATGGACATCTACCGGCTGTCGATTATGTTGATGGAGTGAGACTTGGAATTGTTCTAAACCTTTACGAAAATCTTTGAGTTCCAGGCAGTAGTGTCCTCTTAACATTCGGTAACTTAACTACGATCCAACAAGCCTTATCCCGAAATTGGAGAATTTAACAAACCTCTTTTACAAGATGGTGGCTCTTGTTCAATAGTGAACGAATTTCAGCTGATGAAATTATCATCAGCCGGAATACATACCTACGTATCATTTTATTTTATCATTCGAACGTAAGGAAGAAAGCTATAAGAAATATCTATCTATCTGTATTACGTACTAACTTAGCCTTTTTTTGTTCGCAGATCGTTTGTGTGGGTGATTCACTGAGTGAATAGTGAATGTGACTGGCGATGACAATTTAAAGAGAACCGCTCGCCTAATGAAGATAAGTGGTACAGAAGTGTGTTCTCTCTAATGATGTGAAAAAATATAAACTATCGTGATGTGGCTCGCGGCGTTGGTGTATTTTTTCTGTCATTTAGGTAAGTTTATTTATTGCTTTACTGCATTGAGATTCTAGCTTTTATTTCATTTATAGAGTTTTCCTGGAACTCGCGATTGCTCCGTTCGTTAGTAAATGGTTAATTTTTATTATATCAATTGAGTCCCCATTTATTGAAATGTGTTTTTAAGACGTGAATATAAAATTGATATGCTTATGTTATAAAAACAAGTATATTGCAAAAGTATCGTTAATAGATTAATTTCTTTGAAACGCTTTAATATAATTATGTACCACGAAAAATATAATTTAATTCGTCATTTCGTCGCTTTGAATATTTGAACAGCCGACGACGAGTTGTTTATACGGCAAATATTGATACTTATGGTATAAAAATAACAAAGTTATTTGTCAAATAGTCATAAAATTAGTGATAAACGAACATTGAAACTGGCGTTTCAGTTTCATTGAGAGTTTTACCGCATTTCGGGCATTAAACTACACATAAACGAGGCAATGGACGCTGAATGGCGGAGAACAATGTAACTCACTCAATATGGCGCGAATGAAATTTGAAATTGGAATACGTCCACCATTTTCGGCAAATGTCAGCGATTTCGGCAGTTTTTTTTTCTTTTCTTCTCGAACAATCCGAGTGAAAGCTGACAGTAGGTATCTTTTTATTGTAATAAAAATCTTGCGCGTCTTGGAATAATCCACGGAGAAAGTAAAAAGAACTTTTTTGTCATCTGGACTAGTTTCTTAAGCCGTGCTTGCAAAGCACTTCTACGACCTGAGCTTAGCTGTCTAAAGTTATATTCCTTTGTGTTCTGTTTATATAATTCATCCATTCAATTTTTTATTTTAATATTTAATCATAGTAAATAGAATTTGTTAAAAAAGGTAAGTGACTATGACAATCACAGCTCCGTGAAAAATAAGTGCCTATATAAGTCTCGTCATACTATTGGCGCCAATCTTTGGAGTGTGTATTCATTTGCCATATTGCTGTACATTGAATAATGTTTGATAAATTTTAAAATAGTATAAGTATTACTATTTTAAAATTTATCAAACATTTACTTTACTCTGAAATTACTAATCTAATTTAAGTCGATTTTTATATAGATTATCTAAATTTAAATATAAAGAACACAGTACTTAGAGCTGTTTCACAGAGTTTGATTAGGTAAATTTTCGTAATTTCGTCTTAATTTGACGAATTTTCCATACAAAATGTTTTAGTTAACAGTAACTTTTAGACACTGAAACAGGCAGTATCCAGAATACAAATGTTTGTAAGAAGTGGTGTTAATCATAGCGGTACTGGTCTAGACATGACGTACTGCCTTTCCATCCGAGAGGCAATTAACTTGTCTCTTGCAACTGATATCAGTTTTCACAATATTCTTTGTTAGAGCAAAGTTTGAAACATCGGTTGGTATGAGTTGGTACTTCATTAGAAAATAAACGGTTTAGTAATAAAGTTCAGAATTAAATTTTACACGTTCATTAAATTACGTTTGATAAGTTTATTGTGTTTTTTTTTGTTAAAATTAAGCTGAAAATATTTAAAAGCTATTTCGAAAAGATCAAATGTCACTTCTGCACGTGTTATTTCGTATGTTTTTTAAAAATAATTTAGATGGCATTTAGGATTTTGAAAACCGAACCAATTTTAATCTCATATTTACATTTTTAAATTATCAAATCGAATTCAACTAATTACAATTAGAATATCCTTTCTAAATATTTCTTTGACCAACACAGCTGCGCAATCTTATATCAGTTGAAAGGCACGAGATAATTGGTTCAGCTGCGCAATACGAAAGGACAGTCCGAATAAACATCCTCTATATAACGAATTAATTCTTTCTGTACACTTAATGAGAACATAATAATTCCTAATTAGGCCGGCGCGACCTTATCCCCAGGGTGTTCTTAATAAATTGTCGCTTGCGTTGAATAATCGTAGCCAGAGTCGTATTATCCCTAAGGCAAACTATAGGCAAGTGTCTAGGGCGCCAGGTCACAGAGGGGCGCCACGATGCCATCGCCGTGAGATGCGTACATCAACAGCCTATAATTGGCCACTGCTGACCTCCCTCTTCTCATACGGAGAAGGTTTGAGCATTAATCATCACGTTTGCTAATTGCGGATTGGCGATTTCAAACTTATAAATATATTCCAGGGATCCTTACGATAGTCATGCTAGCTAAGAAGAAAGCGGAGCGCGTGAGGGAACGAACCTTCTCACGACCTGGCCGTCGCGAGAGACACTCCGGGCGTCGGGGATCGCGAGATGATCTCCGGCCACCGTAAGCACGGGCCTGCGGACGGCGAGCATGGGTGACTCGCCGCCCAACCAGAACCAGGCCCGAGCGTACGGCGCGCCTACGCGCCTCAAGGAGCCAACAGACCGCCACAGATGGGGCCTAACAGGGTTGATGCCGATACGAAGCCGCGGAAGACTTAACGGGTTGGGGCTGCGGCTCGAAGTGCAGGAGTAGGAACGGGGTGGTTTTTAGTCAGTAAGAGTATGACACTCCCTCTCGCCTCACCCGGGCGGGAGAAGCCATTGGATGATTTTCCCCCCTCAAAAAAAAGGTATCCTTACGATGTTTTCCTTCATCGTTTGTCAGTGATGTCTAAATAATCTTAAAAAGTACATATAACTCGAAAAAAGTCACATTGGTACTTATTGTTAGTAGGTTTCGAACCAGCACCCTCATGCTTGAGAAGCGGGCGTCTTAGACCTCCGACCCACCATATCCTCAGAAAGCGAGAAAGCGCAAGCCCATAGAATGACGGCGGTGCTAAAAAAAATAAGAGCACCTATGAGCTGCTTACCTAGGGCGCTCTGTAGTAGTTCAATCCGTCTCTGTTCGTAGCCCTACGCCACTATTTGCGCCACCCATCTGTCATTACGTCAAGATTAATTGTTTTCGTAATAATTATGCCTAGTTTCCGAAAATAGAAGAATTCATTATTGTTATACGGTTACGAATAACAATAATGAAACGGATAAAAATACGGATTTTAGTTATGTTAATTTTTCTGTGTATGTGTGTAAACGCACCCACGACACAAGAGAAAATCTTAGTGTGGGGAAACGTTAAAAAAACGTTATGTATTAGGTAGTACTTAGGTACTAATGGGGGTGGCGAGTAATAAATCAAAGAGACTTTGGTCTTTGAAAGGGAAGGTCTTTAAAGGTCAACTAATTACCGAGTTTTGAACAAAATCGTTTAGAACAAAGGATTCGTTATTATGTATCTCACTGCCTTATTAGACGAGTGGTTGCAAATGTGAGTGACAAAGTCTTGTCTGGCAGTTGCAATTGTGATGTAGTCTCTGGGTTGATTCCCGGGCCGTGCTAGGTATTATGAGGGTCATTGGAGTTTACAGATTTTGTTTTTATTAAGCTCCCTTACGCATTAGCGGTCAACCGCGCGGCTAGCCGCTCCCTGCGGTTGATTTTTGTTTCAATTCAATATGCAACCGCTATGGCGTCTGCGTCTGTCGATACAAACCGCCTAGGCGGTCAACCGCTGGTGCGAAAGAGGCTTGAGGGCAAGGACTCCGATGCCGGTACATATGTAGTTGTGTGCACCTCTATACTTTTTCGGGAATCAAAATGAGTTTTGTTATTTTATTCCTATATTTTTGAAGCTCTCCGAAAATAAAAACAATTACTTTAATAACATGGTTATATAGAGCTAAGAAGCCTAACTTAGCAATCTCATAAAGCGCAGTGGTTACCAGCTTTATACCACACACTAGCCGGGGTAGCATAGCTGGCAACCCAATTAAGTTGTCACTTCTAACTAACGCTGTTACGTAGTGCCCTTTAAAATTATATCTGCAGATCCGTGGCGATGCACTGAGAATCTGATATTGCGATCCGACGCAGAATTTATACAGAACTCCAATTTTAGATTCCTAGTAACAATTTAACACGTTTTCTGTATGTATTTTGAAGATTTTTTCTTGATTTGTTAGCTGAGCACTGGCTTTTTTGCACCGTGTACATTGTTCTGTTTTTTTTTTCTTGTTTTTTCTGTAATAGCGCAAATAAACTGATTTTCTTTCTTTATTTCTTTTCTTTCTTTCTTTCATATCACAAATTCACAGTCTCCCTGACAAATATGACAGTCAAATCACTAATGAAAAAAAACGTTGTCACCTATAAAAATTCTGTTCGGATATCCTTTACTATAGTTTGTTTGCGTTAAGAATGCAGTGAGTCATCAGTGCAATTATAAGATAACCGTGTATTCGCAGTGGTGGGAAATTCAAACAAATTATATTTTAAAAGATTAAGTTTAATAAATTAAACTGTCAAACACCAAGCGGTCACCGGTGACCGCGACCTATTGTTCTTTAATTGTGTCTATAAAACCGGTACTCGACGAGTTAATGATAATACACTAAAAGTTTAAAATCAGTTTAGGGGGCGGGGTAGGCTGACAGACAATGGTTTCTTACTGCGTTTTTACGATTACACTGCTTTCCACTATGTGTGACCACCAATAAACTATAAATTCTAAGGCTTAAACTGTCAAACACCAAGCGGTCACCGGTGACCGCGACCTATTGTTCTTTAATTGTGTCTATAAAACCGGTACTCGACGAGTTAATACAGTTGGTTCAAGTGCAGCCATCTTTCTAACCGTTAAATTAGTACTTAATTAAACTGCCACTTTGATGCACCCTGTTCAGGCAGCCATGGTATTTCCGACTGTGTTTCTTGCACTTTTAATTAGATTTTCATATTTAGTAGAGTACGGATGACTGCCTCGTTGGCCGAGTAGTCGCAAGTGTGACAGCCGGGCAAGGGGTCTCGGGTTCGATTCCCGGGTTGGGCAAAGTATTACTGGGTTTTTTAAAATTCTCAGTAGTAGCACGGAGTCTGAAATTGTGCCCGATATATGGCAATAAGCTCACCCTCTATTACATAGGACTCATAACATAAATAGTGAAAAGTGGGTGTTACATTATACAGTGGCATTAAGTGTTGTAATGCGCACCTACATATT